GAGGGGGGGGGACCAGAACAATCGAAATTTTTAAAGGAGAAGGGGTTGCGTTCAGTGGTCCAAGGAAGAAGAAGGGGCTGCGTTTTAGGTAAAACGCAGTATAATACTGCGAACAACTTTATAAAACGCAGTATTATACTGCGAATTACAAAAAAAAAATTGAAGTAAAACGCAGTACAATACTGTGAATTACAAAAAAAATAATTAAAGTAAAATGCAGTATGGTATTGCGTTTTACTTTAACGGACTAATTTCCGTTAAAGTAGTTCGCAATATAGTACTGCGTTTTACTCATTTATGTAACTTTTTTTTTAAGCAGTACAAAAGTGATTTTTGTCCAAAAAAACATCAAAAGCGTTTTGAACTCTAAAAAAAATAGGGAGGAGGACCATAAACTTTCACAAAGTTAGTTCATATCGTGGAAAAACGGAAAAGGCAAAACCAATGGGACTTTTCTTAATTGTAGAGAAGAGCGAGATGACAAAAGACATCACAAATCCGCAAGCAAAGAATTTACTGTTCAAAGAGGGACGATGACCGATTACATATAGCAAGCAAATAGCCAAATAGGCCTTTTTTGCTTTTGAGTTCTGAGAGCGACAAACTATAGGAATAGGATGGCGCATGCACTGCTGCGCCCGCACGCTCAAATGCGATGCTCCTAAGGACAAATACCCGTGCACATAACGCCTATTTCTGATCAGGATCAGCAAATCACCACTACTCATTCAGTATATGAATTTTTCTCACTTATGACCAGTGGCGGAGGCAGAATCTCTACGAAGAGCGTTCAATTTTTTTTTTGTAGCTAGTGGAAATTGAACCCATGACCTTATGTAGATTTTGAATCCACTTGACCACTAAACTACACTTTTGGATTGTGTTAAGGGGGTTCAAAACTTAATAATAGAGGTAAAAATAGATTTTGCCTTATATATACAGTGTAATTTTTCGACGAAGGGGATTCGTGTGAACCCCCTTGCGTCCCCCTAAATCCGCCCCTGATTATGACTCTTACAAATTAATTTGAATAATTTGATACAAATATCGAATACGTAAGAGGAGTCTTGGAGTAACTGGTAAAGTTGCTGACATGTGACCAGGAGGTCACGGGTTCAAGCTGTGGAAACAACCTATTGCAGAAATGGGACCCCGCATATAGCGGAAGCTTAGTGCACCGAGCTGCCCTTAAATATCGAATACGTACAAGTATTTTAAGATAAAATAAAATATAACAATTGATAAAATTTGGGGAAATAAAAAATAAAAAGAATAAAAATATAAAATCATCTAAGTAAGTACTAAAAAAGTTCAGCCCACTACACTAAGTTCTCGCTATGTGCGGGATCCGGTAAAGGGCCGAACCACATGGTATAAGTAATACTACTTACTTTAAAACAAAATGGAACGTACCAACTTGAACGTGATGGGATAAATGGCAAAATGGAACGTACCAACTTGAACGTGATGGGATCAATGATACTTTTTCACTCTTATTAGAGATCTCATATTTGATCCCTAAAATAAAAAAACTAGTGTATTTTATGCTGAATGAATCTGAATTATAGTCTATTTTGCTAAGTTTTTTTCTTTCTTCCAAAAGCACTTTATTCCAAAGTTAAAGTATTTGACCAAGATTTTAGAAAGAAAAAAAATATTTTTGAGTAAAAGCAGAAGCAGTTTTGAGAAACAAAAAAAAATTCACCCAAAAATAATACTTTTTGAGAAAAATCTACTTGGAAACACTTTTCAAAAATTTGACCAATTACTAATTAATACTGTTTAAAGTATTTTTAAAATTAATTGGTCAAACACAAATTGTTTCTCAAGAAAAAACCTTTTTAACAGTATTTTATGAAAAAAATAGTTTAAAATAAGATGATTTGAGAAGTTTAGTGGGCGTTTGGACATAAGAATCGTAAAATTTTAAAATAGGGGGATTTCTTTTTCAAATGAAAATGATATTTGAAATTTAGAATTGTGTTTGGATATGAATATAATTTTGGACTGTTTTTGAAGTTTTGTGTATTAGGAACAAGCGTTGATTTCGATAAAAAGTATAAGAAAGATTTGAAAAAAATTAAAAATTCTTATGTCCAAAACGGGCTATATTCCAATAGGCTACTAGTCACCAAATTGAATTCACATTAAAAATGATTAAAAAAAGTATAGACTAAACATATACTTCCTCCGGTCCAAAATACGTGATTTGTTTTTTTTTTCTTGTGGTCCAAAATTAGTGATTTTTTAGATTGCAAGAATGAATTAATTATTTTTTTCCCACATTAGCCTTGGAGTAATTAATGTTAAAGTATGCGTTAGGAGTATTTATGTAAAGAGATAATAAAGATTAATATGATCAATTTCATTAATAATTAATGTTAAAAGGTGTATTTCTTAATATGTGTGAAAACAATCAAAAAAAATTACTCCCTCCGGTCCAAAATAAGTGATTTTTTGGATGTTGTCCCACAGATTAATAAATCCATCTTTTAACATTAATTAACAATGGAATTGATCATATTAACCTTTACTACTCACATAAACGCTCCTAATATATATTCCAACGCTATTTACTCTAAGGACGATGTAGAAAAAAAATAATTAATCCATTCTTGAAATCTGAAAAAATTAATCCATTCTTGAAATCTGGAAAAATTTGAAGGGAGTACTTATTTTGGATCGGAGAGAGTATTGTTATGTCTCTCCACCTTTTAAAAATAGTTGTGACATGCAACTTGCCCCAACCCACCCCCTCGCTTTGATACTTAGCCCTAGCTACAACAACAACAACAACAACAAAGTATAATCCCACTTGGTGAGGTCTGGGGAGGGTAGTTTATGCAGATCTTACCCTTATCTTAGGGTAAAAAGACTGTTTTCAAATAGACCCCCGACATCCTTCTTTCCAAGAACTTCTCACCTTGCTCTTGAGAGACTCAAAATCACAACCTCTCGGTTGGAAGTGGGGTTGCTTACCATTAGAGCAACCCGTCTTGTCATACTTGGCCCTAGCTATTGCATCGAAAACCCCACAAATCTCAACAGCCTTTTCTGATCGTATCCCTCCCTTCTCTCTCTCTCTCTCTGTTATTACTCCACCAGTTTACATGGCAGAGCTTCTCTCTCTCTCTGTTTCACTTTCTACCTGTAACTGAGCAAGTTTGAGAGAGAGATTACTGAGTAACGAGAATGGAAAATGAGTAATAGTAGTTGAATAATGTAGTATTTGAGTAATGAAAGCAAGTGAGTGAGATCCAGCTCCTTCTCGTGATCTCATCTAATCGACCCAACCTAAGCGCTATTTCCGTCTTTAACGCCTCGGTTACTCCAACCAACTTACTATTCTACTCTTTTTCTCCTTTTTATTCTCCATCTCTGTCATTGTAGGATTTTAATTGAGTTGTCATTGGTATTTTTTGAACACTAAGAGATTGATTGATCCGAAGACTAGGATTTGTTTGTTTGGTTTCAGATATACATCTGTCTTCAATGCTGAAAAGCCTTATTTTCGAACACGGGCTTGTTTGCTGGATTAATTAATCGTAGGTAAAAATTACTCTTCTTAAAGTGATAAGTGCTTAGTTCTTAACTAACTGATAGTAATTAACTTTAATTTTGTCATTCTATTGCTAATTGGATATTTGTTCTCAGTGGGTATCTTGCTCGGAGATTGAAGTTGATAATTCGAGAATGTTGACTTGTATAGCATGTTCAAAGCAGCTCAACACTGGATCTCTACGTGAACCAGAAGAAGATGACACGGCTGCTACACCCAGCAAAAAGCAAGCCATTAAAGCCCTTACTGCTCAGGTTCATTCTCCTTATTCTCTTAAAAAATAAGTCTTAATTACGTTGCAATATATGTTATTAAGTTCAAATGTCTGTTTGTTTATATGTTATTTTGATGATTTTTTAGATCAAGGATATGGCTGCTAAAGCTTCAGGTGCATATAAGAACTGTAAGCCATGTT